CCCGGGCCTGTGCCCCCATGGGGAATAGCGCCGGAGACTGGTGCAGGGGAGAGGCTGGGGTAGGAGTAGCAGCCTTTCACAGCGACGCAGACCGGAGTGAGGTCACCAGCTCCCGAGAGAAGTAGAGGGGGAACCCAGAGCCCGTGGCCTGCAGGAGCCCGCCCGTGGCCCGGGCCTGGGTGAGGCCAGGCCGCTCGCCTCTCCCATTCGGGCCGCGACTGCATACCCAGCGCTCCTGTAACCGCTGCATGTAACCGCGGGCGACCGTCACCAGAGCAGAGAGAGTCAGGTAGGAGTGCGAGCTATATTCTTAGCTCTCGGCAAAGTAGGTTACGGGTAAAAATACCGCTCGGTAGTAGCTGAGCGAGCATCACCTTCATGTGCTCCTGCGGCAGCCCCGGCGCCGTCCGGAGCCCTCCTCCCGGCCAGGCCCGGCCCCGGCATCCCTCCTCCGGCAGAGGCAGCCCGGGCGTCACAGCGTGAGCGGCCCGGAGCCCACCTCTGACACGGGGGGGGGGGGGGGGGGGGGGGGCCGCCTGTGTCTGACCCGGCCAGGCGCTCGGGGAAGACGGCATGGGGTCTGGGTCGTGACCTCGCCGGGCAGCAGGGGGCGCCGCGTGGCCACTGGGGCAGGAGGAACAGCACAGACCGAGGCCCCAAGGCTGAAGGAAGCCAACGCCCTGCCCCTCCTCCACCCACACGCCCCATCGGCTCGGACCCTGCACCCTCTGCCTGGGTGTCAGCTCCATACGGCCCAGCCTCGGCCAGGGTCACACCCAGGACGGAGTCAAAGGCACACCAAGGTCGGCGCTGGCCTCCTCACTGCGGGGGCAGGTCCCCGCCCCGCTCAGCATCGTTAAATGGCGACTGATTAAAACCCGTTCAAGGTGACCTCGAGGTGTGGCGGGTCCTCGTCCTCTCCGGGGAGCCCCACGTTGTGAAGGAGACGGCACCTCTTCTGACCCAATGAAAGGCCCAGCACGGAGACTCACAGGGGGCTGGCGGGCGGGAGCCATGGGCACGGGGGCGTGCCCGGTCACGGTGCACAGGCAGCAGCCGGGCCCTGGAGGCGCAGCTGAGTGCGGACACGGGTTTCAGGGGGTTTAGGCAAAGTGCCCAGGACACACGCATGAGTGGTGGTCACGGACATCCATGTCCGCCAACTCAAAAGGGTCTGGAAGCCGCCACCCGTGCGGGAGGGACAGGCTCACCTTTGCCTGCAATGCTACTGCTTATAACAAAGAGAATGTGAGCCGCGTGGCTCCGTGGCTGGGCGTCGACCGAGGAACCAGGAGGTCAGGGTTCGAGTCCCAGTCAGGGCACAGGCCCGGGTTGACAGCTCCATCCCCAGAATGGGGCGTGCAGGAGGCAGCCGATTCATGATTCTCTCATCACTGATGTTTCTCTCTCTCTCCCTCTCCCTTCCTCTCTGACATCAATAAAAAAATAAATTTTTTTAAAGTATGTAAAGCCAAAAGGATAAAAGAGTAAGTTTCCAGTTCTGGTCGAAGAGACACGTGTGTTTAGTTATTGCTCCTGGGAGTTCTCCCCTCTGGCCCCTGCTGGCCCAGTCCTCACAGCCGGCTCCCGGCCGGCCCGGGACCCTCTCGAGGTGGCTCTGAACCCAGGACCAGGGCCACACCAGGCTGCTGGCGAGAGGACAGAGCCCAGAACACGGCTCCTTCAGGCCCTCAGACCCCCTGCTCAGGCCCTGGAGACGATGCCAGCAGAGGCAGCCAGGGAGAGGGGCAGGAGGAGACGCTGAGGCCACACCAGGGGCGGCTGTGGGCAGGGGCCCGGCCCTTCCCGGGCACTCGGCGTCCTGGCCTGGTGCCAGGGCTGCCGCTTTAAATAAACTTGGACTCGTCCACCTGGGCCAGGAAGCAACACCAACTGTGTCTCCGGCAGGCCCGGCGCTGACGACAGACGGCCAGCACGGCCCCTGTGGGCCCGCCTGGCTCCCCGCCGGCCTGGCCTCCTCCTGCCCGGGACACCCGCCCAGCAGAGCCCTCACTGGACTGGCTCCCCGGGAGGCCGACAGGGTGCGGGCAGAGCCGAAGCCCCGGCTCCGGGCCCCTCCACACGAGGCTTCCCACCCACTCAGCCTGTTCCTGGCTCAGCTGCCGTCCGCTGTCAGCTGCTCTGGTCCCTGCGGGCAGGGTGGGCACCCAGCATGCACTGCAGGGCATGCCACCCCCTCTCATTCCCAAGGAGCCCTGAGGGCTGCACTCCCCAGGGTGGGTGGGCGGCAGCCAGCACCCGTAAGCAGCGGGGCTGGAGCCAGAGCGGGGGCGGTGCCTGCGCAGCTGTGGACCCAGAGGCTCACAGAAGAGCGGGGAGCTCTGAACTTCAGGCCCAGGATTCGGGGTGCACGACCAGGGCGAGGACGGGGCGCCTGGTGCGAGCAGAGGAACATGCGCCTCCGAATGGGCGCCCTCCCTTCCCAGCCAGCCTCTGAGGATCCCCAGCCCATGCCTTCCTCTAGGGAGGCGACTCAGGGGGTTCAGGGGCTCACCTCTGCCCTGCTCTCCAGAGCCCGGGCACCCTACCAGCCCCCCCTGAAGGAAGGGAATCTGTGGGTCCCCAGGGCCTGGCCTTGACCTGATCAGGGGTTCCCTCAACCACCCTCCTGCCCACGTCTGGTGCACCCCAGCACCTGCAGGGTGAGCCAAAGCATTTACACACCCCACACTCCTCCGGCTGGACATCCAAAGTCACCAACGATCGCCATCTGGGCACCAGTCACCAACGATCAGCATCTGGGCACCAGTCACCAACGATCAGCATCTGGGCACCAGTCACCAACGATCGCCATCTGGGCACCAGTCACCAACGATCAGCATCTGGGCACCAGTCACCAACGATCGCCATCTGGGCACCAGTCACCAACGATCAGCATCTGGGCACCAGTCACCAACGATCAGCATCGGGCACCAGTCACCAACGATCAGCATTGGGCACCAGTCACCAACGATCGCCATCTGGGCACCAGTCACCAACGATCAGCATCTGGGCACCAGTCACCAACGATCGCCATCTGGGCACCAGTCACCAACGATCAGCATCTGGGCACCAGTCACCAACGATCAGCATCGGGCACCAGTCACCAACGATCGCCATCTGGGCACCAGTCACCAACGATCAGCATCTGGGCACCAGTCACCAACGATCAGCATCGGGCACCAGTCACCAACGATCGCCATCTGGGCACCAGTCACCAACGATCAGCATTGGGCACCAGTCACCAAAGATCACCATCTGGGCACCAGTCACCAACGATCAGCATTGGGCACCAGTCACCAACGATCACCATCTGGGCACCAGTCACCAACGATCAGCATCTGGGCACAGTCACCAACGATCGCCATCTGGGCACCAGTCACCAACGATCAGCATTGAGCACCAGTCACCAACGATCGCTATCTGGGCACCAGTCACCAACGATCAGCATTGGGCACCAGTCACCAAAGATCACCATCTGGGCACCAGTCACCAACGATCAGCATTGAGCACCAGTCACCAACGATCGCTATCTGGGCACCAGTCACCAACGATCAGCATTGGGCACCAGTCACCAATGATCAGCATCTGGGCACCAGTCACCAATGATCAGCATCTGGGCACCAGTCACCAATGATCAGCATCTGGGCACCAGTCACCAACGATCAGCACCCTTCACCATCACAGGGATCACTTCAGAGGTGTTTTCAGAACGAGAGTAAGGCCCTGTCCGTGTGGCTCAGTGGTTGAGTGCTGACCTATGAACCCAGAGGTTAGTTCCATTCCAGGTCAGGGGCACATGCACGGGTGCGGGCTCGATCCCCAGTGAGGGGGTGCAGGGGACAGCTGGTCCATGATTATCTCTCATTATTGATGTTTCTCTCTCCCTCTCCCTTCCTCTCTGAAGTCAATAAAAATATATATTTTTTTAAGAAATAAAGAAAACAAGGATCCGACCCTGGGTGTGTAAGAGGAATCCTCCAGCAGCCGCAAGGGGTGGAGGAGGCAGGGGCTTGGCCTGAGCAACCTCCAGACTCACTGCCCAGGCCTCAGGGGCCCCTCGGGGCCTCCCGGATCACCGACACCCCTCCCCCCAGGCCCTGGGGAGCTGTCCCCGCAGCCTTCCCACCTGGACCCTCAGCAGCCTTCCCGCCAGCAAACCCCTCCGAACTCCCCATCCACCGTGACCCTGAAGGACCCGCAGGCGCCCCGCCAGGCTCAGCCCCAGACTGACCCCCCGCCCCGGCCCCGGCCGCCCCCCGCTCCCCTCCCAGCGGGGCGATGGGGGGACAAGCGGAGCCCAGGCCGCCGGGACCCGGGCCGAGGCCGCTCCCACGCCGCCCGCCGCCGGCGCGCAGGGAGCCCCTCCCGCCCGGGAGCCACGCGGAGGAGCCGGCGCCGCGGTCCCGCCGCCCCCGCCCCCGCTGCCGGCCGTGGGGGCGGGGACCGAGTCCCGCGCAGGACGGCCCCTGCCCGCCCGCTGCCCGGCCCCCCGGCTCCCGGCCCCCGGCCCCCGGCCCCTGCCCGCCGCCTCCCGCCGCGAGTGCGTCACGTCTGCCCGCTCCGGGGACACCTGCTGCCGCCCCCGCCGCGCGGAGAGCTCCCCCGGGCGCCGCGGGCAGGGCTGGGGGCCCGCGCTGAGGTCCCGCGGGCCGGGCCGGGGATGGGGCCGGGGCCGGAGTCGGGCCGGGGATCGGGGCCGAGGCCGGGGCAGGGCAGGGGGTCGGGGCCGGGGCCCGGCGGGGGGTCGGGAATGGGGGTCGGGGCCGAGGCCGGGGCAGGGCTGAGGGTCGGGGCCGGGGCCCGGCGGGGGGTCGGGAATGGGGGTCGGGGCCGGGGCCGGGGCCGGGGCAGGGCTGGGGGTCGGGGCCGGGGCCGGGGCCCGGCGGGGGTCGGGGCCGTGGGGCCGTGCGCCTGGCCGGCGGGAGCGGAGCGGGGGTCGGGGGCGCGCGGGGCCGGGGTCCGGTCTCCCCCTCCCGCCGCCCGCCCGCGGCTCTTACTTGCCGATGTCCTCGTAGAGCTGGTACTCGTCCGTGAAGCGGGTGCAGGGCGCCGTGGTGGCCATGGCGGCGGCTCCGTGCGCTCCGCTCGGCGGCGGCGGCTCGGGCTCCCGCTCCCGCTCGCGGGCACGGCGGCTGCGGGGCGCGGGCGCGGCGACACCGGCTCGGCGCGGGCGGGGGCCGGCGGCTGCGGCGCCCAGAGCCGCGCGCTCCGCTCGGAGCGCGCACACCCACGCGCCGCCGGGAGGGAGCGGGGCCGCCGCTCCGCCCGCGCCCCCCGCGCCGCGCCCGCTCCCGCAGCCGCCGTGCCCGCGCCCTCCCGCACCCGCGCCCGCCCGCGCCCCGCCCGCCGCCGGCTCACAGCCTGAGCCGCCTGCACGCGCCCGCGCCCTCCTGCGCCCGCTCCCCGCTCCCGCCCCGCACTCGGCCCCGGGACCGCACACGCGCGCACCTGCCTCACTCCTCGCGCCTGGGGTCAGGGCCTCGCACACGGGCTTCCTGCTGGTGACCCCCTGCACGCACACACACGCGCGCACAGACACACACGCGCGCGTGCACATACACACACGTACAGTCACTCGCAGTCACACACAGTCACACACTTCGGGACTGCACGCGAACCAGCCCTCCCAGGAAGGCCCACTGGGCTGCAAGAGGGACTGGGAGAGCATAGGCGGCTAGGAGGCCTCCCCAGGTTCAGTCCTCACCCCGGAGCCACCTCCACACACTGCACACAGTCCCCGTCCATCCTGCGGCCTCCGGACCGGTCCCATGGGGACACGGGGGTGGGGAGGGGTGGGGGTGGGAGAGATGGAAGGGCAGAGGCTGTCCTCCTCTAGGGTCCCAGCCCCCCGCCCTCCTCCCTGCACTGGTGTCTGCAGGAGGGGTCCCAGAAAGGAATGGGGGGGAGGCTGAGTCAGGGGATCGGGGCTGCTCCCTGAGGAACTGGGCTCCTGAGAGCTCACAGCCCCCTGCCTGGGGACACACTCCCTCTCCCCGGCACAGCCCACCTGCCTGGCCCTGCTCTGGCCACGTCCAGCAGGGTCCATTGTGAACGCAGCCCGGAGCAGAGGGGGGCAGGAGGAGGCCAGGCAGAGCAGGCTGACCCGCTTTCCGCAGAACAGCCTCCCCAGGGCCGCCCAGGCTGCATCTGGAACAGGGACTTCGGATCCGTCGCAAGGCCCACTGGGCTCCGGTGTCCCCCACGTGCGAGGGGCCGGGGCCAGGGCAGGCCAGTCCAGGGCAGGCCCCAGGAAGGAGGTATCCAGCAGCCAGCTCCGGATTGGGGTCGCCCAGCTGCCCGTGCGAGCCCTGGCGGCACCCCGGCTTCCAGCTGTGGGTTCCGGGCTGTGCGCTCAGCGCTCACCTTGGTGGCCAGCACGGGGCCTGCCGTGGCCACAATAAATGCTTCCTGGGTCAAAGTTCACATAGAAGGGGTTCTGGGGTGGGGCCTCCCCCGAAGAAGCCTTTGGAGCGTGGCTGTCCCACAGATCAGCAGACCGGGGGCCCCGGCTGGGTCTGGGTGGTTCCAGAGATCTGATTTACACCCGGACACGGCTAGGGGAGAGGACGCTGGGTAACGGAAAGTTCTGGGTGGGGGGGCCTGTGGGGGCCTGGTCTTGCTCTCAGAGGGAGGTGGGTGGGGAGACCACCTCCACTCCACCCCTGGCAGAGCCACGGGCCTGTCCCGGGGGCTGACTCCCACCACTCTGTGAGGCCACACCAGCAGGGAGGCTGCTCTGGGATATGCTCAGACCCCGGGATCTCTCCCCCAGGCTGGGCCTGGGCACAACCCCGAGCTCAGAGCTCAGACCCCGGGATCTCTCCCCCAGGCTGGGCCTGGGCACAACCCCGAGCTCAGAGCTCAGAGCTCGTGGAGAGGCAGTGGCAGTCCCACACACACAGCACAATGAGCAAACAAAACACCGCTCCCCTGGGCAGACCAGGCGCTTAGGCCACAAGCCACTGGGCACTGCCAAGACCACACACACACTCCTACCGCACCAGCCATGCCAGGCCTACACGCATTCCACACGCATTCCACACGCATTCCACACGTATTACCTCATCTCTCTCTGGCAGTCCGAGGCAGGTACTTCCAGGTGGACAGCAGACACAGGTGAGGCAACCTGCCCAGGGTCACTAGCCAGCACTGCTGAGCCTGACCCCTCACTGCTCCAGAGAACCTCTGTCTTTTATTCTCACACACACACTCACACACACATGCATGCTCACATACAGTCATGCACTTATACTCACAGTCACACACTCTCACAATCACATAAACTCACACACAGCCTTGCATTCACACACTCACACAGTCATACAATCACATAAACTCACATTCTCACACACACACTCTCTCTCACACACACACACACACACTCACATGTGCATGGCTCCTTGGCCCCAGGTGAGGACGCAGCAGCATTCTGGGGTTTGCTTTGAGGATCCTTCCCAGGTGGGGAGAGGCTCCCCAGAGCCAAGGTTACACAGGAAGTCAGGGTCACGAAGGGGTGCAGCTTGAGGCCCTCCTTCTACTGTTAGCACCTGGGGCTCCCCAGGCTGAAATATTAAAGGAGTTATGCAGGCAGGAGGGTGGGTGATCAGGCACCCGAGGGATGGTGGTTACCAAGACCAGACTGCCCCTGCCCCCACAGCCCCTCTCCTTACCCTCCCTGAACAGCAGGGGGTCGAAGAGCTGGGAGGAGGGGGGGCCGTCAGCTATGACTCTTCCTGGCCGGGAGGCTCTCACCTGGTGTTGGCCTCCCACTCTCCTCAGGAAGGGCCCTCTCCCTCCCCACCCTCCACACCGTGTCATCTCCGCCCCCTCCTGTCCTTTCTAGCCGGCTTCCATCCGCAAGGAGGGCTCTTCCTCCAGAGCAGCAGCTGGGCGGGTGTGGGAACCAGCTCCAGGAGGTTATTGTTAGGACAGTCCCCATGGCAACTCGCATCACATCTGCAGAGCCCTGAGTGCTGCTCCAGGCTCCTCCTCCCCGGAAAGCCATGGCCTCCTTACCCCTCGCCTCCAGGTCGCTTCTCCCAGGGCAGCCTCTGCCTGGAGGGGCAGGCTGGCCCCAGGACAGGAGACCCCACTCCACCCTCTCCACCACCTGGCCCTTGAGGTGGTAGCCTGTGCAGGGGCAGGCATGGGGGGTGGTGATGGTTGTGATGGTGGTGATGATGATGGTGTAAAAACTGTGATGATGGTGATGATGATGGTTATGGTGGTGATGGTGGTGATGATGGTGGTGATGATGGTGATGGTGATGGTGATGGTGATGGTGGTGATGGTGTGATGATGGTGATGATGATGGTGATGGTGGTGATGGTGGTGATGATGGTGGTGATGATGGTGATGGTGGTGATGGTGATGATGCAAACTTTGATAATGCTGCTGCTGATGGTGGTGATGGTGATGAAGGCCAACCTACGATTTACAATGTACTCATGACCTTCTGGGAACTCTTCTGAAGGTCTGCCACCACCTTATTCAACTTCACAGCAACCTAGCAAGGCCAGGCAGCGAAGATCGGGTGGTGAAGGTCAGGAGATGAAGGTCAGGTGGTGAAGGTCGGGGGTGAAGGTCAGGAGGTGAAGGTCAGGCAGTGAAAGTCAGGCGGCACAATGGGCACTCACTGCTTTGGCCACACAAGGAAACAGCAAGGCTGACATGACCACAGCTCGCACTGAAGGAGCTGGAAAAGAACAAAATAACCAAGAAGGGGAGGCGAGTCTGAGAAGGCCCGACGGGATGGATGAGATGAGAACCAGCAGCAGCTCGGGGTCAGCGACATGAGAGCTAGACGTGTTCTCAAACACTGTTAACGGTAAAACAAAGTCTTATTGGTAACAGAAGTCCAGAAAAGTGGGTACAAAATGGGGACAAAAATGAAGTAAGAGGTTATTACAGAGCATGACGCACAACGTTTTACCAGGAAACAGAGGCCACGGCCGTGTGGAGCCCTCCCACCAAAGGCCACCCTCTCTGTCCTGGTCCGCGGACTCCACCCCGCGGGGGCGTGCGGGAGACAGCGGTGGGTGTTTCCGTCTCACACGGATGCTTCTCTCTCCCCCTCTCCCTTTCTGTCTGAAAATCAATCTTAAAGAATCTAAAAAAAAGAAATGGGAGATTTGTTATTTGAAATGCAAATTTTTCATTTGGCTCAAAAAATAGTAACATGACAGAAGAAATGTAAAAACTGTGCTGAACTTCACACAATATGAATGTTTTCACTCATTATAGTTGTACTAATAAAGAAATGACAACGAGCCCTGGCCGGTTTGGCTCAATGGATAGAGCATCGGCCTGTGGACTGAAGGGTCCAGGGTTCCATTTGGGCCAAGGGCACATGCCTCCTGTGGCTGGTCCCCAGTGGGGGGCGTGAAAGAGGCAGCCAAGCAATGATTCTCTCGTCATTGAAGATTCTCTCTCTCTCTCTCTCTCTCTCTCTCTCTCTCTGGAATCAATAATATATATATTAAAAAAAAAAAAGAGTGAGAATTGGGGGAAAACAAACGCACTGTCCGGAGGAGAGAATGAGGCTCCTCCCTCCTGGCCTGTTCCTAAATTGAAGACCATAAAACCCCGGGGCAGCGGGTGCGTCCCTGTGGCGCTGGGTCAGCCTGCGGCCTCCGTCCTGCAGCTGAGGGCTTTGCAGGGCGGGCGCTGGGGCTGGGCGCTCGGCTGGCTGTGGGTTCGGAGGAAGGATTTGTGATGAAGACGTGCTCGGCGGTGCTATTTATAGCCAAGAAAACTGGAAGCCACCCAAGTGGCCGCCCGCTGGGACCTGCCGGAGGGGACGGAGATGCCAGGCTGTGACGAGCTCCGGGCTCCGTGGAGACAGAGCGTGCGTGGGGGAGCCAGATATAACGCGGTTTGCACTCAGCGAGCGGGTAATTATGGGACAGCGCACTCGGTGTCTGCGCCACCCGCCCTCCTGCACCCGCACTCGCACCCGCACCGTCACCTCGCCCTGTCCCCTCGCCCCCCAAAGAAGGAGGCTGGGGGAGGTGGGGCCCCAGCAGGGAGGGGGCAGAGACAGCCCCCCAGGCCTCCCAGCCA